ATTTCAGATCTAACCTCAGAAGCCACTGCTGATCCGACCTTTCCCCCTACTAGTGGCTCTCCACCTATACCAATAACCAGCAACTTTGTTCCTCTCCCTCCATTCAGACCTCGACCTATTCCTCATCCTACCTTTCCAGGCCATATGAGCAAAGACCCAAGAGACTCAGTTGCTCGTGCTCGACCCACTCACATACCACCCCCAGAGATGGAGCACATGACTCTGCACAAAGTGGTGGTGGGCAGTGTTGCACTCTTCTTCACCATGTCCCTAATCTTGACAATTATCTATGTGTTGTGGCGGCGGTACCCAGGTGCAACAAGGTTGCTGCAGCAGCGATCCATGGTGGGGAGGCAGCGTTGCAAAAAGAGTCCAGAACCAGAACAGAACCTGAGCACCCAACTTCAAGAATATTACATGAGCTACAACCCTGCTGCCACACCAGAGGCATTGGAGGTGTTAGGCAATGGCACTGGTTCCTGTACTTGCACAATTTCTGGCTCCAGGGAGTGTGAGGTATGATCCATCACAGCAGCCTAAAAATAAAACTCAAAACCAAAATAAAAGGCTCAACAGAGAGGTAAATCCTTTATCAATTATACAATTTAAAACAGCACTGCTGAATTACAGCTGAACATGGTCTGTGTAACACCTATCAGTTCGATTTTCTGCAGTATATGCAAAACAGAAAATTGGAAAATTGAATTCAGATTTCCAAAAGTTTTTTTTTTTTATTCATCATGTTTAATGTATACTTTTCAAAGCGCTATCGTTGGAAGGTTACATAGAAAAAAAAACAGAAAAAGTAAAATAATCTGAGTATTTTTATTCAATAAGTTAATTGCTTAAGTGGGTGGGACCTAAGCAACTGGATCCACATATATATAATATGAGATGGATGCATTGGGACTTCACCACTGCCAAGTAGGAGAAACACAAGCTCCAATATAACTTGTGTCAGATCATAACAAGCTCTTAAATAACTTGCTGTACTATAAACTATAGTGAAAACTTTTCCCAGCACCAGTTTCCTTCCTGGCTAACATTTAAGCTGATGCTGCATATACAGTACATTTGTACTACTAACATTAATTTATATTTATAAAATATCCTGTCATATGGCTGCTAACCATATGTCTTGGCCAAAACACATTATTCCTGTTGGTGAAATAACTTTCATCTCCAGGCTGTTCTTAAGTGTTATTGTACCTTGCTACTGTAATTTACATCTTTTAATTTGTTAATTCATCTTTTGGCCAAAACATTGTTCATGTTGTGAAATAACTTTCAGCTCCAAGCTATTTCTTTAGTGCTAGTTAGTTAATTTATGTCTTTTAATTTGTTAATATGCTGGTAGTAAGCAGGTACAATGCTGCAAAATATAGTGTTAATATCCTACTGTGTGATAGTTACTGCTAAATCAAAAATTTAATGTGTCATAATTATAGCAGATTTTATATTATTTGAAAATTTGTTAAACACTGCCACTCTCCAGTGATGCTGCTACTAGTTCCCAGTGCATGAAACGATCTTGACGGTCTGCCATTGCTCGTGGGGGGACTGTCTTTATCAAGTATAATCAATGGAGATATCACTCTTTCTCTAATCCACTCTGAGTTTCACCAGTCAGGTGAAATGTGAGCTGGGCACCGTCTCAAGGAACCCGAGGATTGAATAGGAATAAAAATACTCAAACTATCTTTTCATTTTTCTATCCAAAATTGCATTCCATTTTTGAAAAACTAAAAAAGTCCAAATCGTATTTATACATTGATCTGACAAATGAAAAGTACAATTTTGGGAAATCTGTTCCAATTTAACAGTTTCCTCTTTTTTTATTTTATTTATAGAAAATTGAACATATAAGCGTTACATGGACAAAGCACCCTTGACTCACACGCTTGACTTCTAGTGTGGCATGCCTCCAATTATTCAGGTTTTTAAAGGGGAAAACAGAAAACAACTAATCCTGGGCAAGCAAACTACAACATGGCTTTAGAGGACCACATTAGAAGAAAAATGAATTACCAAATTTTGTGCTTACCAGTGGTTATTGAGTGTGGTTTTAATGTTTGTTCTTCAGTTACAGTATATTCCTCCATTTTATTTTCTAAATGATCTTTTCAAAGCTACACTTTTGGAAATCTTCTTCATGGGTATGTCAGTTTAAAAGGACTATGGATAATTGGACACGGTCTAACTATTTTGCAGACACCACTCCAAATCAGCATGGCATGGCTCACACTTTTTTAACAATTTGCTGGGCATGTATGTGTGTATGCCTCTAGACATTATTTTAATGCAAACATCCAAATTATAATGCTATTACGGTTGTTGTAACATAACATTATTGGGTTTTTGCAAAATTTACAGCAAATATTAATGAAGTACATTGGCATTGATCAGAATTTGACAGTTTTGCAATCACATGGCAACGTCTGTGAAACTGTTTGAGGTTTTTAACTGAACAGAAGATATAACCTTGTTCATCATAAGGTTGAGCATCCATTATACAGTAGGCGACTGTGGTTTGTGATGTGCATGGCCTTGTGTATGGATGGGAATTGCAACTGCTCATTGTTGTTAAAGTTCAGTTTCTCTGGTTAAATGCACACTTGCTCAATTCTATAGGAAGATTTATGGCAATCTGCACAGAGACGAGGCGATACGATAATCCCAAATTTATGACATGACATACTATAAAAGTGTATCCCTATGTTGTTATAAGAGCTATATTTATAGAGCAGGGAGATTTCAGTGACCTGCCTGAAACTTCTGATTTGCTGGTCATCTTCTGTCACAAAATCACCTGTGACAAATTTGCCAATGGGACCAATAGAGTTTAAAAGTTAATTAAATGATGCACAAAACAAAAGAGGCAGCAAAACATGAGACCAAGTTGCACAATACCACCTAAAATCATTATTTCTTCTCTAGCTAAAGTGATTTACAATTGCTTTGACTCTTACTATATTTCTGCAATTGTTTTCAAAATTTTACCTCATTATTGTGATGTTAGATGATAGAAATAGCAATAGGAAACTTGCTGTACGCAAACATTTTTAAATAGAAAAAGATATACTTGTAATATTCTGTATTTACCGAATACCCTTTACTCATTCATTCATTCATTCATTCATTTTCTACCGCTTAGTCCCTGAACGGGGTCACGGGTGGGGCCGGAGCCAATCCTGGCCGGCAATCGGGCGAAGGCGGGGTACACCCTGGACAGGTCGCCAATCCATCGCAGGGCTAACACACCCTTTACTATATTGTGATAATAGCTTAACTTTTCTGCATCTTACATAATGTTATTGTACGACATTGCATTTTTCCCTTTACCACAAAAGCACTAAAGGTCTTCAGCGAGGTAAACCGATTATGAATAACACAGCTTATATATATCTGTCAGCATTACAGCATGAAGTGAAGGTCAAATAAATTTAAAGTAAGTCAACCAAGGCAGTCCATTCAGTGTAAGTCATAAATCTCTTGATATTGACAGTGGAGCAGTTCCAGCTTTTAGCTTTCTACACTAAAATTGTTCTCAGGCCTCCACTTCCAGTTATGGCAGTGCATAGTAGCTCTCTTCATGATCATGTTAGAACTAGTTTACATGATTTGGGTAAAGTATGATTCTACGCTTAACGTATAAGCGACTTTAAAAGGCAATAGTAAAAAGAAAAAAACAGTATTGTGAGACCAAATTGATTTCAGAAGCTTCACAAAGCACAACTGAAAGAACATAGCTGTTTTCACTGCCAGATTTCAATACACAAAACTGCAATTTGTGCTTGCAGCCTGTATGCATATGATTTAGTGAGTAGCAGCTAATCAAGCTAATCACCGACTGGGGCTGTAGGTGTTTCCTCTGAGTGAAGGAGCTCTTCAAACGTACAGTCCAGTGGTGGTTAGAGGGCAAAACCAATGTTAAATCCAAAGCCAATTAGGATGCTATTCATGCAGAAAGTTTTGGATCCTCTCAGAGGTTCAGTAATTCCACTTAGCAGACTTCTTCAGTTGAAAGTGTGCACGTTTGAATTTCCCCAAAAAGTGATGTTTGTTGAGGAAAACTCAATTTTGTGCTAAGATGAAGCAGAGCTACTGCAGATTTAGCAAATGCCACAGAAATCCATTGTCATCCAAAAGTAATTGAAAACATAACAAAGTAAGATACCTTTGCTTGCCTGTACACACAGAACTGGCTCCCTGAGTATGCTTAAAAGCATCTGCCCAGTTCTGAGCTATTCTCCAGAGACAGTAGGTGCAGACTTTTCTCTGAATAAACAAACCTGGGTGCTTGTGCAGAATGCATAAGTAAAGTTTCAAAATATATGTATAAGTTGTCTGACGTGGGTTTGCCAGAGATTGCTGACCCTGCTTTCACACCAAATACTGTATATACATTTACACAGAACAAGGCCAGTTTTGTCAGTATCCTGAATTTTTTTTTCTGCCAGGTTTACAGCCATGCTCAATTAAATTTAACTTTGACCACTAATCCATGCTGTTCCTATAAGTACAGTAGGAGGCCGATGTATGGAGAGGTCACTGTCACTGTAGGAAGAAGATAGGACAGTTAATTTTGTGCATCCAAAGTAGCTGCTCAGTAAAATGAGAATAAAATAACTTGTTTGACTTTTATAAGCCAAATAAAAAAATTAGATATGTTCCAAACCCGTAGTTAACTGTAATGGTTAATGAATTTGAAGATGCTTCCCTGCTCTATGCTAAATATAATGTCATAAAGCAGTGCACACTATGAAATGTTGATTCATTCTGGGTCCTAAAAATAGGCCTAAAAAAAGTTGAGAGACCCACGTTTAGGCAGTAATATATACAGCCCTGTGCCTGCTGTATTAGTCATCTGGCACCAATGCACAGTTTGACTGCAATTGCTACAAAACATAAGCAGTGTTCTGATTTACTCATAACAGAGGACTATTTCTGTAGCATTCAGTGTCAGTGTGTTGTTTCTCTCTACATAACTACAATCCAAAATCTCATCATTTCAAAAGTAATCTCTCCTTTTCAACATCACTGATGGGTGTCTGTAGTAGTTAGTTTGGGGGTGTATACATTTGTGTTTATTCCAGGCATTTAATAATTGAGATGCTGGTGTCAGACTGGTTTAGTTTGATGAGAATGCCATCTTGCTGGCTGTCACAGCTGGCTGTGTCTTTTATTATAGCGTTGTGCAGCGCCAGCAGTCCCTGTGGATGGTCATGTGGAAGAACAAAAGCCAACACAACACATTTACCTTGCTGTGGCGCGAATTCAGTGAGGAGCTGTCAATACTGCCTCAAAATGGTGTCAGAGCCCAGCAGGAAGGCAGCTTGAACAGTACATGGTCTCTTTCATTTTGGCTTTTAAAGGTTCGGGGCTCGAACCGTAATGGCCCATACAAACCCAGACAGGTTTTATCATTTACTCAGGCTGATTAGGCTTCTGCTCAGATTCAAGTTGGACGCACCTATACTGTGAATTTGCTTTGATCGCCAGATCCATTCAGTAATGCTGCATTCAGATCATAATGTAGAACATGTTACTATTTGTAGATAAATGGAAAATAAATATAGT